ACATGTTACATACTTTAAGTTCATTGATAAGTCTGGGTCTAGTTATGATGAATTAATGAATCTTTGTTTCAATGTGCTGATTCAACGATTTTTCCATTCTTGCAGAAGGTGCAAGGAATGCTCTAAGTCTGTCAGGAACGATGCTTGGCTACTACCCAGTAAAGGTGCTGCCTTCAAAAACTGCAATTGCACCTGTTAACCCAACATTTTTGCCAAGGGTGGGGACCATATTTTACCACTTGTCATCAACATTTTTCCCAAGAGTGTTAAAAAGTGATTCATTGAATTGCACTGATTTTACCTGTTCTTACTTGGGTTTCTTTTGTTATTATTTTATAGTGTGATGATGAGCGTGAGATGTGCTCAAGGACTATTTACTGTACAAATATTGACAAGAAGGTAATTCCAACTTTCTGATCACGTTTGGGTGTTTTAGGACAATAACTGGTGCACCTTTTCCTGAATTGTTTGTTTACTTGGTGCAGGTTACTCAAGCTGATGTCAAACTCTTTTTTGAAACACTTTGTGGAGAGGTTGGTGGTTCAGTCTATGACAAATTTTGATTACTGCTCGTTCTAAACTGCAACCTTATTGTATGGACTTTCTTCGGGTCGTATAGGTTCAGCGCCTGAGGCTGCTTGGAGACTTTCATCACTCCACTCGTATTGCTTTTGTTGAATTTACTGTGGTAAGTACCTAGTGTATGTAAGTTGGATTTTTAGCACACATAAGCCTCATTGTGTACTGTGCTTTGTGAGCGTGTATGCATGTATTCATCTCTTCTCTGGGGCAATTAGAGGTCAAAACCTATAGTTGATTTACAGTCCTACCTTTTCTCTTAAATACTTGTTAGTCTTCGATCAGCATTAGACAGACCTGTCTGATTTACTGTTCTGTATAAGTAGCTTTGAAATCTATTGTTTCACACTTTCACTACTGTTTTAAGATTTGGCTTTAGTTATCTGATTCGAATAGAACATCACAGTAAGCTTTACCCCTTGTACCACTGGTATTGTAGTAAACAGAAACTATGGCAATAAAACAACCACACACGCCCCTACCTTAGTGACTCTAAGTGTTTCTTAAACAAACAGACCAAGTAAAATGGACATGTTTGGAGGACCATAGTGATCAAGGGGAAGGAGCTGATAATTGGATAGGAGATGTTAACCTACATATCTGATCTACTCTCCAAACATGCTTGAAATGGAGTTGTATGGGCATGGCTAACACCGAATTGATGCAAATCATTGATGTGGTCTGTTGTTGCACATACGTATGTCCAAAATCACCCAGTCACCAAATATTTTGATTTAACTGGTGAAAGTTTCTTTGACATAATATTTTGAAGATCATAAATTATTTTGAACAAGGAAAATGGTCTTTCTGTTATTTTAAGTTGTTCATTTTTCTTTGTGAGAACGATTAGATTAAAAGTTGTCTATTAGTCTTCTCATCCTTTCTGTTGTGCTCTGTAACTTAGGTAGTGAAAATCTGAGAATGCTTCTTACTCTCTATGTTTTCACTATTGCAGGCTGAAAGCGCAATTGCGGCTCTTAACTGTAGTGGTGTGGTTATGGGATCGCTCCCGATAAGGTCAGTTTGGCAGAATGCTCGGCTTACCTCATTACCTCTCCCCGCATCCCCCACCTCCCACGCCTCAAATTTTCTTTTAGGATCAATTTACTTTGGACATCCTATTCATTCTTTTATGTATTATGCATGCAGGGTAAGCCCCTCAAAGACACCAGTTCGACCCCGTGCCCCTCGTTCTCCGCCGCAGTGAACCACCTCTTCATGCTTCCATGACTAATCTGCTGCTGATAGATATATCAACCGTATGCATACACAGAGACAAACATTTCGGCATATTGTGTTTATCCATGCTTTTGTCATGGTTACTGTTAGGTATCGTTGCGACCTACATGGGGTTATCTGTGGGTTTTATTTTAAACTTGTAGAGTTGGATGGAATTCTGAGGAGTTTAATGGTTTAATTTTACTGAACTTCGTTATGAAATCTAGAGGGATAATCCCGAAAATCTCGAATGCTTTGATGCTTCTCACGATCGGAAACCCTTTAGAGCTTGCCGGTCTTAACTTTTCGTGGTGCTCTTTTCTCGTTCTAATCTCACCCACATCTGGCTTTCTAGCTGCTCAGAGTTGGGGCGACATTTGAGATCTGTGATCCCAAATTTCCTCCCACATGATGGCTATGGAGCTAGGTTTTCTGGGAGAGACATACAGAGGCCACTGTGGTCGTATCTAAATCCAATAACACACTAACATGTGAAAAAAGTTCAACAAAAGATGGTGCGTTATTGGTTTTTATATCGCCCCAAAGGTTTCGCAGGTCTAAGTGAGACAATTGCCTAACTGACTGTATCTTCCATACGTTATGGTAGTCAATGAACACCTGTCACTTTCCCTCTCCTTTCGTCGAGATAAATTGTCTTGTACCTGGTTGTATATCTCTTCGTGTCTATTCTTCCTACTTGTCCTCTTCTACGACGCAAGGGTTTGTCAAACATTTCATTATTCAATATGGCTGGATGAAATTTTCACTCAGGTTTGATCATAGGACTCCAAATTTGATTGAGTAATGCCTTCAAGGAGCAACTCTACCGCAGAAAACTCGTATTTGAAAACAAAAACTGAAAATATCTATGAATTTCGTTATAAGTTCTCGAAAAAGAAAATTATATATCGTTATTGACAAAGAAAAAATGTATGAATGAATCAGGTAGCTAATAGAACAGTCTGTAACAGGGAATGTCTAATGCATCCCAACTTTATAATCTCACAAGGAACTTGCTACCGTACAATAGTCGATGAACTCTTCCCGGAGTAGGAGGCAGTTTTTGGCGTTTACCTGTGAAGGGGTCTGCTGGCATTGCATATATAAGAAGTATGCACTGCACTAGTTAGATTAGAGACCCAAGTTGCAAGTACCTGCGACTCTGAGTGAAGTAGTTGGAAGTGGTAAGCTCTCCAGTTTGTGTTTGGGTTTGGATGTTGTTGGACTATATTCTATGAGTGGTTTGATAACATTTCGTTTTCATTTTTCTCGTTGTTTTGATAAATTGATTACTACATGAAATCAAAATCGGAAAGTTACTTGGTTGAGTTTTCAAAATTGAAAACTAAAAATTAGTTGGTAAAAAAAAAAAAAAAAAACTGAAAACTGAAAACGAAATGTTATCGAACGGCCCCTAAATAACTCAAATCTATAGAGTTAGAAGATTCAAACTTAGTACAAGGCAACAAACACTCTGCCCTAACCAATTAACCTCACCCACATCTGTGTCAATTGGCTTAGATTCATTGAACTTGTTTGGAACCACAACGAAAGAGTTTCTCTGCTTGAGGATGAGTCAGCTAGCTTCACAGATTTTCCGTGTTTGATGAGATCTACTTACGTACGCATTTGTCTTTTTTTAATCAAACTTATCAAAGTAGATTTTTAAATAAAATCGAAGATATATCATCATACATTCAGTTCATAATCACGTCATAAACTCTATATAAAAAAGAATATATCCTCATTCACATACACATCGCCGACTAATTTAAAATGAAGCATGAAAAGGCCAAACTCTAGGGTTAGGTTAGGTTCATGGGATGTACTTATTTAACCTAGTAAGCTAACTACTCAGTAAACTAATTAATTAGAGGTGCACTTTGTGCAAGCAGGAGATCTTTGTCTTCTGGTTTTGATTTCGTTCTTCCTAATCTGACAAAGACATGCACTCAGCGGACAACCAAAATCTACCTTTGTGAATTTAAACAAATTAACATAACCAGTTAAAATGCGATTCCATTGATGACTAATACTAGTTAAACACAAAAATGATCACATATTGTCGATTTTGTTGATTGTTTGTTCTTTTCGAGACTTGGGAGCAGCCTCTCCATAAATGGGGGTAAGGCTAGCTGACATTCACCTCTCCCAGACCCTGCGTAAAGCGGGAGCCTTGTGCACTAGGTACGACCAATTAAAAATAAGACAGATGAGGAAGAGCATGGAATTTTCTAGATGCATGGGTCTTCAGCCCTACACAGAAAGGTTGGTTTCTCTTACACGACCATTACGGAAGGGCTAATCTCGTTTATTTCTACAATTATGCTTTAAGAAAGAAAAAAGAATCACCACTTTGATGTATCGATATGCATTTTCTTTTGTTCTTTGGCGTCACCCAAACCATAAGGATGATGTATCTACATGCCTGCCTCCAAAGTAAGCTGTATAAAATTTCCACAGAAGATTTTCGTTGGTCCATACCTCAATATAAAAATCACCCAGAGTCTAAAGTAGTGTCCATCCTACAATGCTATACCACTTGTACATTATAAAAATAAAATAAAATAAAACAAATCAATAGGCATGGATTGCCTATGTGATTTTGACAAAAATATCATGATCGGGTTTACTTATTACAAATATCTCTTTAATAATTCTGTATCTTGATAAAGATATGAAGGATTGAGCACGGAATATACAATCTTTTTCTTTGTAGACAGACATGACCTAAACTACTTCTAGAACTAGAAATCAATAAGCTGCCATGGATATGAGGCTATGAGCACTATGCCAATGCACCACCCTCCTCCACTAACCGACTTCTCTCTCTCTGTGCATGCGTGTTGACAACTAATATATCTTTTTCCTTTTCTTACTCCAAAAGACCAAGACCAAATATTTATATATCTCTCATTCCCTCTACTTTTTTGGCTTCCCAATTCCCACTCCAAATTGCCCTTCTCAACCGAAAGACAGTTTTCTTTGCCTTCTTTCCACTCCCCACAAAACAAACACCCTCATTCCTTCTGCCCTTCCTTAACTTATGTCGCCTTAATTTCCTCCTCTCACACACTATACATGTCACCCTTGCTCCTTCACACCTCTGCATATTAATCTCTCTCTCTCTCTCTCTCTCTCTCTCTCGACCTAGCTATATATATATATTTAACATCTCTCTCACTAGCTAGCTGTGAAGAAAAATGGGCAACTATTTGGTTCTCTCCAAGGAGGACAAAGTGCTGAGGGTTTTGAAGACAGATGGGAAGGTTTTAGAATTCAGGGCGCCAACCCTAGTTAAGGACATTTTATCAAACTTTTCAGGCGTCGGTATTAGTTTATCAAAGCAAGCTTCGGAGCAGCTTTCTCCTGATTACAAATTGAAGCTCGGGAAGGTTTATTATATGATTCCCCTTCCGAGTTCTGCAGAAAATGACAGTGCTGCTACAAGAAGGATTAAGATCGTCGTCACAAAGCAACGGCTTCAGGAGCTACTGACTAAGCAAATATCAGTGGAGGAGGTACTTTCAGCTTCAGGGCCTGAAAAGAAAGCTTCTTCTTCTTGTGTTGATTCTTCAAAAATTTGGAAACCGAAGCTCAAATCCATTACCGAAGGAATCGAGTAAAGTAATTAGGGTTACGTTTCGGCGTATAAGTTTCCGTGATCTATGGCTGATCATACACACTTTTGAGTCAACATGGTTTTAGCTTTTCATCAGTTTAGCCCTTCTTGTAAAACACGTAACGAATGAATGGCCAATAATATTTTCTAGTCTTGCAGCATGATCTTTTGTGAACTTGTCAGGTAGGATCTTAGTAAGCACCCGGCGAGACACAATCTACGGTTAACAATTAATTAGTAATAGTGTGTGCGTACTTTCTGCACATTTTCGTAAACAATTCAAGCTTGAAATTTAGGAAATATCAAAGAATTAAGTCATGTTTTTTTTTTTACTCATCAAGTGTGAGTACTACTTTGGCTTTTCCCAAATATAGAGGTTAGATGGATTCATGTCCTTGCCGATATATCTAGAAGAGATTTTTTCAACGTATCTAAATATAGGATGGTACCCTATACGTTATTAGGCAAGTGGAGAAAAAAATATTTTTTTTAAGTATCCATCTATTTGTATAGAGGTCGCACTTGGTGCGATGGCAAGTGTTTTCGCCCATGAGCGGTAGGTCTCGGGTTCGAGACTTGGGAGCAGCCTCTCCATAAAATGGGGGTAAGGCTAGCCGACATTCACCTCTCCCAGACCCTGCGTAAAACGGGAGCCTTGTGCACTGGGTACGACCTTTTTTATCCATCTATTTGTATAATTACATGACATATGTGCTCATATTTAGGGTTTAGGGTTCAAAAATGCAAAGACTAGATTTTACTATAACAGCTTGATAAGCGAAGGTTATAAAAAATTCAGACTTTGCAGATTTGGACCTCGAGCTCCGATTTGGGTCAGTAAGCGGCCAAACTTGGAAATCAAGCCTCAATTTTGTTTGTTCCGAGCTTACGCCTACCAAAGCTACTCTTCGATCCATTATGTATCAGTGTTGATTTTCGCTTTTATTTGGGATTTTAATACTATGTTAGAAACAACTTTATACAATGCAACAAAGCACAAGGAAAGAGACCAAAACAACAAACATAATCAAAAGCCACAAGATATATTACGTACATGCTCACATTCAAAGCAGATGAGGTTTTTTTCACTGTATTGCGACATCAATAACCTTGCGTTCAACTTTGGCCTTAGGAATAGCTATGTAAAGAACCCCATTCTTGAGCTCCGCCTTGATCTTGTCCTTCTCTGAATTATCCGGCAGCTGAAGCCGGGTATTGTAGGAGCTATAGCTCCTGCTCGACCACGAATCGTCCCCACCTTCTTCCTTCTTTTGCTCCCCCTTTATAACTAACACATCGTCCTCAACCGACACCTTCACGTCCTCCTTCGAGAGCCCCGGCATGTCAAAGCGCATTTTGATTTCGTGTTCGTCGTCTTTGATGTCCCATGGCGCACGAACTTCCCCTGCTGCTTTGGTTCTGCCGGGGAATGCCACCGTGTCTCCGAAAAGCCGGTCCACTGTGTCCAGCATTTGCCGCATTGTTCTCACTGGGGAGAGGGGATCCAATAGACCTGCAAATTAATTTGTACCATTTTCGTTGATTATAGCTAAGCAATATTTGATCGCTTTGGTTTTTAAGTATCAACTTTTGGTACTAGAAATCACAATCATGTGAACAAATGAGATAAAAGCTGAAGAAATTTAATAAAGAACAAACATGGGGTCAAAAGACAAAAAGTCATGTACATAAAATTTGTGTGGCCATAAGCGTAGAAATGTGACATTTAAAAACCAATAAAAATTTAGAAATTCATGCGTCGATAATGTTAATTTTACTAAACATCCATAGTAGGTTTTGTTAATTATAATGATATTTTGTAAGGTCGTTTGTTTTACAGCCGGATTAAGGTTCATCTTAGGACTTTCCTTAGTTACCATCTGTTCAAAAAAGTCAAAATTGAGAGTGTTAGACTTACCAAAAGGAGAAATGTCCACAGCCGAACTCCTTGGCCTCCTCTCCACATCAGTCCCCTTGGTTGCCCTGATTGACTTGCACGTCCAACTTGTCTCCAACAGCCTGAGCTCTCACCACTGGCAGCCTATTCTGACGCGATGGAAAGGTGGCGGATGACGGCAGAATGGCGTTTGCCTTGATTGAAGACCTTGCTTTGTTTGACAACAAAGGTGACGAAGAAGACAAAGCCAATGTTGAAGCCATAGTTACTATTAGCAACACAGAAAGTTGTGCACACGAAAAAAATGTACGAAATCACACACTTAGTTAGCTTATCTTTATTGGGAAATTACAACTTTGAGATTTCTTGTTGAGGTAGGGAGTTATCATTGTGCATAATATATATAGGTAATGGGATTGTGGGAAGAAAGCTTGGAGAAGGGTCTTGAATGTTTGTGAGAGAGAGAGAGAGTTTTCTGGACCTAAAACTTGTAAATGGAGTAGGATTCTCTCTTCTCCTATCTCATACCCTTCTCTCTCCTCCTCTCACAAATTGTATTTTGTCTTCTTTTGGTTTTTAAAAAATTAACACAAAACGTTGACGTGGTTTAACTGTAATCATTCAAATAGGAGGGGAGGGAATGAGAGAGAATCCTACTCCCTTGTAAATATAACATTTTTCTCATTCTGTTTGGAAAGATCCTTTTTCGTAGAATGTGATTTTATGATTAGACAGACACTTGTGGTTTTAAGACAGAGAAATGCTAAGGGGAATTTTTTTTAAAAGTGAGATTATTTATGATCTATTTGTAACTTCATTTTTTTTATATAATATTTTATAATGTTAGCACGAAATTAATGTTAAGTGACGAATAATCCATAGAAAGTTATATTTTTTAGATAACCTTCTTAGCATTTCTTAGATATTTTCAAATGAACCCTTGTTTTGTTGTGTGTTCTTTTTCAGGACAAGGTTTTGATATGTACCACCTTCTCTACAAATCCATCTGTCTTTTTTACTCCTTGTCTCTTAACCTATGTATTGGCAAGATAATAGAACATACTCGATTAAAGAAAAGTATAAGTGGCAACTCTCTAAGCAGGAAGGAGAAGAAAGTTCACGCCGCTCTAGCGATAAGATGTTTATATTTTAAATTGATTATACACTTTTTACATAGACTTATGCGAGAACATTAAAGCATTTGACACTGTGTTGGTTCTAATTATTTTATTGCTGTTTAAATAGGTGACCAACTGGTGACTTAGCCACGACACTTCATCATTTTCGGAGATTAGGAAGGCTCATAACAGGCATTTCAGTCTCTTTTTGACCAACATCGTATGGTTATCTAGCTCTAGGAATAACCGGATGTGCCGTGTAAAATTCATCGAGTGGTTTGTTGGTTCCAATTATTTGGAAAATGATCCTTGCCATATCCTTTTCCTAGGGATTCCGTGATCTTACTTGTTCATCGTACATCGTGCGGTCATAAATAATTTTAAATTTTAAAGTTTAAAATTAAATATGAATAGTATCTAACAAAAACTGACCGCATGATAAACGATGAACAGATGAGATCACGGAATTCCTAAGATCCTTAGGAAAAGGATCCGGCGAGGATCTTTTTCCCAATTATTTGACAAGGTAAATTAGACATTAGAGGCATGCTTGATTTGTTTATAGTAGCTATTTGCCAAAGTTAAATAAGCATTATGATCCCCTTTCAACATGACATAATCATTCACGGGCTAGCAAATAGCAATAGGAGCTGCTCTGAGTCATTAAACCACCTGCAGGAGAGATTTTTTAGTGTGATCATCACATGAGATAGTACATCAAGTGTCTCTATATAAATGAAGGGTTATATGTGTTAAACGGTTAATAACTTAAAAATTAAAATTTTCTACTACTTGCATAAAAATACTTGGTGTACCATGTCACAACTAATAATTTCTCCACCTGAAGGTCCTGTGGATAATTCGGGTCCCACTTTCAAGTGATGCAGAGATTTTATTTTTTTGGCTAGAATTTTTTCTTTAAAGTTTTTAATTTTTGATTCCCACAAATGGGATGCCACTGGCCATTTTTTGTTGTTTCTCGTTGGTGATGTTTGTGGAAGGACTGTTCTCCAGCAACCGACTTTAAATATTCACCTACCCTTAAACACACAGAAAGAAAGAAGACAGAGAGTTCAGAGAATCCAAGAAACTTTGACTGTTCTACTGAAAGAATGAAGATTCTTTTCAAATTTTCTTTGTGAGTATTCTTAGGATTTTCATATCATGTCCGTTCATCGTATATTGTGTAATCAGAAATTATTTTATATATTTTTATTTAAAATTAAACATAAATAGTATTTAATGAAAACTAACGTACGATACAAACACGATTTGAGAATTCCCGAAATCCTCACAAAATGAATCCGGAGAGAACCCTCATCCCTATTGAAATACCACTATTTTTTCTTACCTTGATGATTGTATGATTAATCACATTTTATAGTCGTAACTTCTAATAATCTTGCACTTCTGTAGGCTTGCAGCATCTATCCTAACACACATGATCTCGTCGCATCACATGATTTGTTTGAGATTTCGGTTATGCTGTTTGATTAAGGCAATTTTCATATTGGTTTGAGATCAATAGGAAGTCAAGTGGGGATCAAATCACATGATGTCTCATATTTTTGTAAAAATTATCTTACAAATGACGTAGTCCGAATTCTTCTACAAAAGTTTATCTTTTGATTAAGGAAGATTCACTTACACTTCTGAAGGTTTGGGACACCATAACTTGAACGTCTATGTTTCATACAAAATCCACTCCTAGTCTATGATACAATTCTTTCATGACTCGTGCAGTTGTTAATGAAAAACATAAAATCAAAAAAGCAAAAGGTGAAAGCCCTCCTCCCCATCTTTACTTCAGCTTTCTGCGGTATCGAGAGTACTTACTCTTTCATGTTGCCTCCAAACTCTCTCTCTGACACAGTGCCCCATCAAATTCCTCCATGCCACAAGAAAACACCGTTCCCTTTGTCATTATATACTGCAACAAAATATTAACGTTACACTTACATGTATATACATATACATACATACATACATACATACAGACAAGGCCTGCACTGCAGCTGCTGCTCCTCTGCTAAATGCATGAACTAGCAGAAGCATAACCCCACTCGCAGAGCACATACTTTGTTCTCTCTTCCCCACTCATTAATTACATCTCTGCTTCTGAAGGTAAAGCATTTATTTCAAACATACCAACTTCTCAAACAGGAAGCTCCTATAAAGAAATTCCCATGCTTCATTGTTTCATCACCTGGTTTTACCATTATTGCTGTTTCTGAGTTTTTACCGGTCAGCATTTTCATGGGGAAGACTGGAGGGAGCTCCTGGTTGACCGCGGTCAAAAGGGTTTTCAGGTCTCCTACCAAGAGTGACAGAAGCAACACTAGGAGGAGAGAAGAACTGCAGGAACAAGAGGAAGAAGAAAAGGTAGGGTTTATATCATTATATGCACTCTGAGAGTCTGAAAAGTGATGGTTTTCGCACTCTTGTTTTCTCTCTGCATAAATAGAAGGACAATGAGGGATGAAAAGAGAAGTAGCGGAAAAGGAAAAACGGGAATGCGAAAAACACTACTGCGAAAAATGTTTTTGTGTTTAATTTTTAAGTATGCAGAACCAGAAAAGGTGCTTAGTTGGAGTTCCCATTTTCTTTCCACTTTGAGATCTGTGACTTGAGTGGTTTTTGGGTTTTTGGGTATTGGGTATTGGGTTTTGTTTTTGCAGAAGAGAGGAAAACGGAGATGGATTTTTAGGAAGCCTACGATCCAAGAAACGTTTATACAAGTACAACATAGAAACTGTCCAAGATCTGCTGCTGATGGCGGAGCAGCCACTCAAAATGCAACTATGGCAGCTCATGATGAGGCCCGTGATGCTCCTAGAATGGCGGTGGCCCCGACAGCAGCTGCCACAGTGCAAATGGCGGTCAAAGCTGTTCGTCTTACTAAGTCTAACTGCAGGCCTTCCATTTTCGTTAGAGACTATGCTGCCATTGTTATTCAGACTGCTTTCAGAGGATGTCTGGTACTTAATCATAATTAGTCAATAATTAATTAAGTTTTCCCTCCGTAAATTAGAGTAGTTTAAAATGTCGCATTGTCACAAATAACTTGGTAGCTAGCTGGTGCAAGTGAGTATTAACTAATTTGATTTTGGTTTTGAAGGCTCGAAGAGCTCTTCGGGCCCTGAAGGGGCTGGTGAAGCTTCAAGCACTGGTGAGAGGCCACAATGTTAGAAAGAGGGCAAAGATGACTCTGCAATGCATGCAGGCTCTGGTTCGAGTGCAAGCTCGGGTTCTTGACCAACGAACGAAGAGGCTTTCGCATGAAGGCAGCGCAGATTCCATTTTCAGTGATCCCAATGGCTTATGTGGAGCACATTTCTCAGATAGAAGGAAGTCCATAGTAAGATACTAATTATCATTTTAGGCGGGCAATGCAGTCGAAAAATTAGATTGTATACAACTAGTGATACTACAGATTTGTTCCAAATGATCTAATTGTACTGTATCTAATGCAGTCGAAAGACGAAGAGAGCAGCGCCTTGGATGATCTGATCCATTGGGACAACTTGAAACCGAAAACATTGGAGCAGATTGAAGCCATGTTACAGAAAACCAAGCAAGCTGCCTTGAAGAGTGAAAGGAGTACTAGCCTTGCTTATGCCTTCTCTAGCCAGGTCTTCGATCTCACCACAATTTTCTGCCTTTTTAATTTTTACAACTCATAATTTGTACTAAATTGTGTGTATGGTTTCATAAAAATTAAGAAATTGAGTAGTGGTAGCAGCGACGAAGATGCTAGTGAGCATGAGGAGTTAGAGGAGAAATTTAATTTGCTTGATGGTTGGACAAGAAGAAGGCAACGTGAGATCAATCCAGGCAGAGCTTCGTTTGATCAGAGAGATCCTATCAAAACAGTTGAAATCGACACTTCTCGACCTTACTCTTATTCGAGTACTCCGAATTCCAATTCCAGAATCAAAAGATCAGATCAATATAATTATCAGAGCCACCATCTTCAGTACAATTATCAACAGCAAAGAGCTCCTCCTCAGTCATATCCAGTTGCCTCTCCTCAATCACCCGTCACGCCATTTACTTCCATGGCAAGAAATCTACAAGTGCACTCGGCTAGTCCTCGTTGCCTTCGGGGAGATCAGAGGATTAACCACCCAATGCCACCTCCTCATACTCCCAACCAGAACTTAGGCTCAACTAATTACAACCATGGATTGATGGGGGTGCCAAACTACATGGCTACTACAGCATCAGCCAAGGCTCGGATTCGGTCTCAAAGCACACCAAGGCAAAGGCATTCAGCAAGCGAGATGGAAAAGCCAGGATCCGCAAGGAAACGCTTGTTTTTTCCAGCTCCTCATCCATGTGGTGATAGCTGTGCTAATGCTAATGTTAATGGTGGTTCGGATTATAACTTGGAGAGCCCTAGATATAACAACGGCATCAAGGGAGGCCTTGCAGTTCGAATGCCGCAGAGGCCTAGCGTGTCTTCTTGTTACACAGATGGTGAAACCTCTCCAACTTCCAGCAGCGAGCACAGAAGGTACTGGTTGAGGTAATCAAGCAGAAGAGTGTAACCGGCAAATTTGACACATGATTGGGTACTGGTGGTTAATCTGCTAACTCAACTTCAAATGCACAATATGGGATTAGAGGAGCAATTAACTTAACTATTAAGCTTTCACTAGATGCTTTTATTCAATATATAAATCTCGTTTGATATCCGAGAATTGTGAGACTATAAGCCGTTGATGCATTTTGCTCCCACAAAGCATCAACGACTCACTATCTCTCGCATTGCGCGCATAGGCAACTGATGCTCTCTAAACCGATGCAGCTGGGTGTTGAATAAAGTTGATGACTTCGTTTTTTATTGTCTTTCTGCTACAAATTACATGAACAACTGAACAATGCATCAGCAGTGTGTTGTACCATACAACTCAAGATATTTCTCCGACAACCCGGAGATGGTGAGATGGTGATCACATCATCTGCATTACGGGTGCGAACTTTTTCAAGAGCTGAACCAAAAAGATGATCCCTTCATCCGAAACAAACGAATCAAGCAACGGCAATGCACACGTGAAAACGCTCGACTCCTCCTCGCAGCCAAATCGTAACTTGAAACTATACATTTTGCAGTTATATCAGATATTTTGTGTGGTTAGACGGCCACTTGCAGTAACGGAGAAATGACTCCTTACATGAGATAAACCGATCAGTGTTCATACGCAAATTACTCTCGAGTAATTTCAACTCTCTTTAAAATCTTGCAAAATGACACGAATTTGGAATCATTCTACCTAACAAGTCAAGGTAGAAGAATCTCACATAAACCAGTCAATGTAGATGCATAGATCCACAAACACGTATGGACGGGCCCTGAGAGAAACTTCGGTAGAGTTGCCTGTAACATCATATTTTCTGCAATCGACTCCATTCGCAGGGAAATTTTCACCACGAAACACGGCAAACACAAAATTCTCGATGAAACAAATTTATATCCGAAAGTAAAATAACCTCTCGTCGATGCAAAGCATCTCTCGGAGCTACTGACAGTTTTCATCTGATAAAAATACAAAATACTCGAGTCTTGTAGTAACCGTAGAAGTCAGTTATGTCATTATTATTCTTTGTAAGGGTGGAGAAACAACATAGAAACCACCCGCATAATTCGAAGAAACAAAAAAGATCTTTGGAGTCACAAGAGAGTTGCAGGTAGCATTCTCAAGGCATCTACTCGGATGCTTCTGCAGGTTGTGGAGCTTCTGTTGGCTTTAAACTTTCGAGAGCTGAAATTCTTCTGTCCAATGATTCATGTAGGCCTTTCACCTGGAGAAACAAGGGAAAAAAATTCACATCTCAACTATCCTTTTCTTGCTATTTAAATGCCTAGAAATTATTATACACAAGATGGTTGTAAAACTGCACGAAACTAAAAGGCCGGTAATAGTGGCGATCCAAATCTTAAAAACAGAAGATCATACGTCGCACAATCATGTATATGAAAAAACAAAATAGCATATCTCGGGCAAAAGCCAGATTTTCCAGGGTTCCATGAGAATTTCTTCTACGACTGACATGATTAGCACTGCATCAGAAATGCTTCTTAGGAGGTAGGTTTCTCAAAATATGCGTTGGCGAAGTGGGTAGGAACTTATACGTTTACAAGTGTGAGTGTGTGGGTGCACGCATGTGTAAACAGTTTTAAAGCACTGAATGTCATGCTTTGCCGACAATTCCAGCAGCATCATGTTATGAGCAAAATTTCTTTTACATTGTCAACATAACGAACTGTTCGAATCAAGGTTTCTTTTCTTGTTCTTAATAGTAAAAGAAATCCTTATTTCACACCAGAAGGGTTAAATCATACACAATTCAATTTAGAGATGCGTTCGCATAGCCTATAAGAATATACACATAGCCCTAATCGGTTGAACAGAACGAGTAGGGTACCCTATAAAATCAATATAAATGAATACAAGTAGACAATCAATGTATAATTGATTTCTCTAAAGAGAACCCATCAAAGCTCACAACTAACTGGTAGAAAACAAGGATCCTAAACACAAAACAAAGAAGGAAAACATTCGAGTTCGAATTAAATTACCCTAAAAGAATTGGGAAAAGGAATAAAGCATTGCTGGTTTTGATTCATCCACGACCAATAGTGACAACTATCTGTGTAACATGATTGATCTTCATCGTCATCTTACCAACATTATGTTTCCAATTTTCCACTGTCGAAGAACAAAACTTTAACTACTCAAAACATCATCGAAACCGCCACACAAATGTCGCCAACGCCCGACAGAATTCAAACCCCTCACTACTCCTAAACAACCTAAATTGACTTACTCAGCAGCAATTCATGACATTGACCAGAACAATTATGCATTAATTCAAATAATAATTAACCAAAATGCTCATAAATCACTTCTGCAAGTTCGTTTAACTTTTAATATTCATTTTTTCAGCTCAAAAGGAGGAGGATTTTCCCTAAATATCATAGAAAACAACAAATCGTGTCCAACCCCATTTCCCCAATCAACTTAAGATTCAATATTCCGTCATCACGCGAAGATTGGAAGGTTCCCAAATCAACAAATTGAAAAAAAAAACCCAAAGAAAACAGAATAAGAAGAAGAAGAAAAGATAGAACCCTAAGAATTGCAGAAAGGAAAAAGGAAAACGGACCTGTTGAGAAATGGAGTGGTGGGCGACCTTGTAATCGTTGTGGAGGATGTAGAGACCCAGAAACGACGCCACCGCAGCTCCGCCGAAAAACGACGCCATTCTCACTCTCAGAACGTAACCCATCTTTCTTCTTCTCCTCCCCCTTTCCTTCTTTCGCTTTTAAAAATTGATTTCCGATCGACAATATGTAGCCCTCGACTAAAGCGACGCCGTTCCAAACTACCCACTTTAGACCATCACCAACCGACCCGACCAAAAGATTATAAAGCTAAAAATAACTTAAAATAACACAAAAACCGTCTCCAACAAAGAGATAGGCCAAATGGTTTGTGGGTCCCACCGGACCCCAACCCCCAAATCAGGCCAGCGGGTTGGATATTTCCAGCTAGCCCTCTAGCACCAAAATGTCAAACTTAACATTTTATCACCCCTTTAGCGTCAAAATGTCAAACTTGACATTTTGCCAGCCCTCAAGCTCAGCCCATTTGAATGCCAATGGCTACCTAGAGTCAACATGACGCCAGCTAGCAATGGTTAGCTAACATTATGCTACCGTCAGGTTATTGATTTTTTTTTTTGGAGTAACATAAAAAGAAACATTCTATTTTTTTTCCCTATAAATACGTACATCATTCCTACAACATTGAAAGCTGAAGATAACGTCATACTGCCGTCAAGTTACAATAGGAATTTGATTTTTTTTTTTTTTTGGACTAATATAAAAAGAAAAATTCTAATTTTTTTTCCCTATAAATACCCACACCATTCCTTCAACATTGAAAGTTGAAGATAAGAAGTGTCATGTAGATAAGAATCGTATCTAAAATTTGCACAACCAATTACATCTCGACATGTGTCACTCGAAATCCTATCCGAAAATTATTAAGATTACATAAAGATAAGAAATCTAGATAAGTAACTCACTTTAGCGACACGTATGACTTGAAATTTTATCCGAAAAATGATTGAGATTACATAAAGATATGAAATTTGGAGAGTTGCTCACGTTTGAAATTTGGAGAGTTGCTCACGTTAGTGACACGTGTCACTCGAAATCCTATTTAAAAATTATTGAGACAAGTGGCACTCAAAATGTCCGAAAACCTTATTTTAATATGGTAGTTTAATTTAATTAACCATATTAATTTAATTAAAATAATAATTTATGTTTGGTCTATGGCCCTTTAGCCCCCTTGGTTGAAGATGGTTTTTTGGTCAAAGGGTTATGTTTAGCCTATAGCCCTTTGGCCCCCTCGGTTGGAGATGGTATAAAATGTGGCCTAACATTGTTCATTAAAATATAATTTCTTGCAAAGCTATAGGGCTAAAGAGAGCCCTTTGTCCCTCTTTCGGTTAGAGATGGTCTTATAGCGTAAAACGACCCGTTTTGAAGTACCATGATTTTCCAAATTTTTAATGTATTGTTTGAAATTTAGTTTGGGCATATTTGAACACAAAACAGAGAATTTGAACTTGAGTGTATAAAACATTAGGGTTTGTTCATTAACGTTTTTCAAAACAGTTTTTCGTTTTGTAGATAAAATTAAAGTACAGACCATTCTCAAATCATAAAAATGCAAAATTCTATTTGTTGTTTACAAAACAATTCCTCAAAATTGTTTTACAAAACGTTACCAGACATGCCCTTATTGTTTTAAGGTAATGTTGCCCCATTTGGCTACTTAGTACTAAAGTCTAACTGTATTTATCCTCACTTTGTAAGTAAGAAGTCTTAAGTTCAAATCTCGTAAATAGTAAATTCGAAATCAATTTGTCCCCCCACCCCAAGTGTAAATACCATAACATCCAAAAACTTTGGCCCATTCGATATTTTCAACTAACTTGTTCCAAAAAATATGACATTACTATTTTTATCCTAAAAAGAAATTATAATTTACTCTAATCCACCAAAAAGAAAATTCAAACTTAAGTGCAAAGGGCAGACAAACTGCAGTATAGCAAAAAGCACAAACGAAACAAAGTGGGTTGGCCTTCCAACACAAGAAACTCAGTTGGGTTTATCTCAGCCCAATAAAGTAAAAATAAGAAGAGAGAAATAAATTAATGTTTAATAAAAATGCTTAAAGAATCCATCATTTCATCCAACAACAAAACGGGCAGATTTTTCATCCATCTGCGCACAGAAGCAATTTTGTGCATGAATATCATCATCACTGCACTGCAGAGACATTCTGAGTTTGCAGTCTTCGATCTTTTCAGTGTATCATAAAACAGTCACAACCTAAAGCTTTTGAAGAACCGAAAAAACAAAAAACCGAAAAAAGGGCAAACATTTCCAGTCAGAAAATTCCATGAAGTGAGCTGCAAAGGTTGATGGTCTGATTCAACCTATGATGAATATGTAATCTCCCGCATATCCTGTTGCCGTCCCAAAATAATCTTCCGTCCACGCTCTGGTCCACAAATTCCGGTCATAAGGTGGCGCGATTCCCTGCTCTCTCCTGCCAACACCAAATATGTTTAAGCTGCATTGCTATAGGGAAGAGTAAAATTCAAATTTGCATCATCACCGCAAGCACTATCATAATCACGTTTGATCGGTTAGGACATTTTCGGTACGGGGGTTTGAACTTTGAACTTAACTACCAATGAAACCTATTTATGAGCAAAGCCACCTTTAAGAAATGGATTGCTGAGCCTTCAATGGAAACGGTTAAGCAAAAATATATTTAACAAAACCAATGCTTAAGAATAGTAGTTTATACCGAAAACGCAATGGTACATATCTTTAAAGCCACTAGCATAAGATTGTAAGATGTGGCCCTCACACATGCCGGTAGCATCAGATAATTGATCAATAATATGTACATAATGACTCACACTACACTATCTTATATCTGAACTCAAAAAACCCTTTAGGTTAAAGAAACCAGGAGCAGACTAATACGGATCCACCCAATAATTGACAGCTCAGAAAACTCAACCACCGGTAGACAAGATCAAACAAATGAAACATACATATTCCAAAAGATTATATCACGAAACAGTAATACTTTAACTATTCGAGTAATTATACTTACTATCTTCTGGAAGTAAATGCAGCAGCATTGGTCATCCTGTCAAAGTAACACGTCTAATAAGTTACACGATAATAAAGCAATAGCCATAACTACTTAATTCATCACAATAAAAAAGCTGCAGTGTGTTCAATGGGTTAAAGAGGTACACCTGCCATGTTTCCCAACAGCATTTGAGCTCAGCCGGCCATTAGGCAAGCCTGAGCTTTGGGTACTGCTCATGCTTGATCTATCCATAAGTGCTCCATTTCCACCATTCATAAGTACAGATGACTGGCTTGGCCTAGTGTCAGGGCCATTCGGTTCCCAAGAATCCTTAGATTTACTCAAAATCTTTACATTTGAGAAACCTCCAGGAATGCCAAAGCTTAACCCATTTAATTGCTGATTCTGCTTAACAGACTGCAAGTGATTATCATTTACATTTGAAGTTGACATCTTCCTTGAGCGGTGAGTCTGTGCCACTGGAGTAATAGCCACAGAAGGCAAAGATGAAGAGTAGGGAGATGATGCAGCTGCTGCAGCAGCAACTTTTGCAACAGCAGCTGTAGCTGCTATCATCTCTTGCGCTCCTTCACGAAGCTGAATGTAGTCGCCCTCAATCACAAATAACTGAAAAACAAAAATTAAGGTCCTCATGAGATAATATCCATCTATGCAAAAACAGACATTTTAAATCATACTCACTTCATGGTGACTAGCCACAAAGTCATCAAGCTTTCCGAACTTTTTCTTGTAATCATGCCAGTGTAAGGGTGCAAGCATCTTTCCGAGCCTATTTGGTAGCTGTACTCAGACCAAATAACATATATTATGAACTAATCAGTTGCCGACAAGAAAGGGTTTTAGATAAGTTGGCAGAGAAAATAAAAATGTCATGCTAACTACAAAGACCTAGTAGAAAATAGGTAGGCTCACCGTTGAACTGATACGAATTCTACCACCTGCCGGAATTGTGCGAACCATGCAAGCCAACAATGACCTTTCATCAAGAAGTGCAATTTCCGAAGTCTGTCCCCCTGCCGCATTTGCATGCCCAGTTGAGACAAATGCTTCAGGCAGAACTGCACTAGTGGCATTATCAATTGCAGTTTCCTTGATATTGACTGAAGGAATTGAATTATCAGATTTTAACGAATTGGTAGTAGAAATTGGTTGTTCTGCAGTTAAAACTTGTCCATCCAACCCATGGTCAGTCGAGGTCTGAACATTTTGCTCCGGTACCTGTTCAAAAGCAAGTTAGTCTGAACTTCTTCCCTAGTTACCATCTGCACTATGACAAGACAGGCTGGCTGACCACAAAGCTCCAGCCTGTATAGGGAAAATACCAAAAACAAAGGAAGCTTATCTACCTTGGTTTCACTGTTCTGTTCAAGAGACTCCAATCTTAAAGCATTGCGGAACTGGGAGGAAATTTGTTGCAAGCTCTGATCAGGTTGGGATGAGACCAAATAACCTCTATCAATTGACTCAAGAACCTGGACCAAAATAATTGCGGTGAATCCAGTGAAGTTGCACACAACATAAAAGAACATTACGTAATCATCGTATACAACGCAATACCTGTGCTTCCCCAGTAGATGATGACAAGACAGAATCAGGCTGTGCCCCTTGGTTAATTTGAGCATCCAAATAGTCTTGTTGAAGAAATTGCCCATTACCAGATGTTTCATAGTTATAATTTGCATCTGGTCTTATTAAGTTTGGATCATTTTGTGATGATGGAAGCTCATTCTGTGTAGATATCTGCAAACCCTCAGATGGAGCCTTAAAAGAGAAAATAAAGAATATAAGTCTGTTATCGTTGTAGATTAAAATAATCAGGACAGAAAAGATGTATTCATCTCAGCACCTGTTGGTTTTGCCACTGTTGGAGAGATGATATTGCAGGTATCGAGTGAAAATGACCAACATGAGATTGAGGAACATGTGGTGGGACAGAATGGGGCACCCCTTGTTGATGCATAAGAAATGGATGTAGAGCAGTCACTTGTCCAGGGGGAAGATAGGAAGGCATCCCAAGTAGTGATGATGGTGAAATTGAAACCCCAGCAACATGGTCGATCTAATAACGATCCAAAACTTAATGTTATGGAAATAATATAAAAAATAGCTAATTCAAATTCCTACTTGCGAATTTCATTTCAAA